GCCCTATTCTATGGGCATAGAGAACAAAATCAGATACCTTTCATTAGATTCTTACTAAAATTCTGAACGGCTTGTACAATTGGATTATCATTATATCCACTATTGCTTTTAGTTTTAACTGACGATGATAATATTTGTGTTGGTTTTTGTTCGACAGCTGAATAAATTTCTTCAATAAGTATTGGTAAAGTATCAGGTATTCCATCCAATTCTACGCATTCAATGGTTAAATGTGGTAAACGTGAATAATAAGGGGAATTTCGAACAATTTCATGTAATTCACTGTATGAATCACATTCATTTGTTAATAAATTAACGCGTGATATTTCACGTTGAAAAAATCCTTCAGACATTCGTCTTACCTAGAAAATAAAAGATGATCATGTACAATGTGAAACACAATGGAACTGCTGGTATTGTAAAAGAAGAGATTAATGAATATATTACAATAAATGTGAAACAAAAATAAAGAACAATAGTCATATTAAACTTTCAGTAGATTATGATCTCATGGTTATATCTGTGACCAGTCGTTCTTCATATTATGAATGATAAAAAAAAAAGAATCTAGAATGGGTTGGCTTTTCGAACCTTTGTTCTTGAGATATCGAAATTCTACTGGATTCTTCGTTCTCATCAAGTCACGTAGAAAATCAGCTTTTGTCTTCAAACTTCTCATGAACAAAACTCTTAATGAGGTTAGTTGATTGCGCAACTAGTATTTCTTTTCTGAAGATATAAATCTATGAATATAATTTGCTTTTATATATGAGAGAATTTCGAATATTCCACATCTTAGAATAGGCAGTACTAGAAAAGTTACAACTGACCGAATTACGTAAATTCATTCAGAACTCTGTTCAAGCAAAGTTTTAAACCGAAAGTTGACTTTCCAAGTAATTTCAGAGGGATGAAAAACCCTGTAAAATTTCATTATCGCAAAAATGAAAGCCTAGAAAACCAAACCATTCGAAACTTTTCCATTACTCATTAAATGAACACTGTCTCGATCAGCAAGCTATCTGGTACCTGAAGAATTTTCGTCATAAGATGTTTGTCGAAGGTTTCGAATTTCCTTTCCCCAGCCCGTCCCCGTTATTTCAACAATCATAATACATTGCGTTACAGAAAAACCTTTATGAATAGCCAAAAATTAGAATGAAATTTCTTACGCGTTTAAAATGATAATCTTTTGCAAGAACAATTGCTGATAATTCATGTAAACCAAATACTTGAATAAATTGACACCATAGCATGATGTTTTCTGCTGAACATTGTGCTATATGTGCATGAGCAAGATTATCAATTGTATGAATATCATCGATATTCTTAGATATCAAAAATAAAATTTATGAGTTTAATGATTAATGAAATAAATTACTTGTAGTTTTTCGGAAAGATTTTGTAATTTTTGATGACATTTTTGATGAGCTTGAAAAAAAAATACAAAACTATAGTTCGAAATACTAAATAATAAAATTTACCATGTACTGGTTTTACTTCATTATCAGGAAGATGTTCAAGCATAATTTCATAAAAATCTTGTAAAGACTCATACGATGATAGAAGTATTTCACAAATACTATTATGAAGATTGTATGCTCGTTGTAATAGAACAGGATTTACTTGATCTGTTGTGATCTAATAGAACATAAAAATAAAAGAAACTTAAAAAAAAATTAACGTTCAAAACTAAAATACTTGTGAAAGATCTTGACCAAAAAGAAAGCTAAATAGTGAAGTTCGATGTACATTTGGCCTAATATAAGAATATCATATTAAACAAACATAAACATAGAAAACAAAAAACCAATACCGATCAAAAACATAAGGTGGAATAAGACAAAGTAGTGAACTATGAATAGTAGCCGTCAATGCTGATAAATGAAAATAATCAAAAAGCATTGGCACATGAGTATGTATGCCAACTCGAGGATCAAAATGAAGTTTATAACATCGACTACATAATTGTTGCATGTTTGGCATTTTTTCCGGTCTAAAAGTAAAATTAATCTTTCATTGATTATTTCAAATAAAAACGATCAGGTTATACAAAGTTAGAAATAACCTGAAACTGATGATATAAAAAGTAAAATTTAACTTGCCTACATAGTATCTAAACTGTTGCCTGTATTAGAATATGTTCTGAACAAGTACTTCGACGTTAACACCATCTTATTTGAGTTGAAAATCGAATTATAAACTGAAGTTCAGCGAATGAATCTGTTGACTAACGAACTTAAGGAATAATAAGCTATACTTTTTCCAAATCTAACAGAGTGTGAGTGAATTCTTGACACTTGGGATGTGCGGGATCACGTTTTCTTGGTTTCGGTCTCGGTATATCTCGTATTTTGATTTATTTAGCCGACGATTAGCACTGTTTTAAATCATCTCTCTTGAGTTATGATTTATAAGGTAATTAACTTAAAATCATAGAATATTTAACTATAACCTTTACCTCCGGTTAAGACAAATTTTTTCCTCATAGTTCTTGTTCCATACATCTTTACTTGACACTCATGAAATTCTCTGTAATATAGAAAACTATAACCGTTAATGAATAGATCTACTACATTAATCTTACTAGTAGACCAAGTTCTTAAAAAATAATAAACTAGTTCTTTGATCTGTAAGCTGTCATACGTCTAATGAATAGTCAACCAAGTAAAACATATAGATCTCAACAAATACTGTTCCATTATACTATATTAAGCTCACTTGGTCGATCATTCTAACCAAAACATTTTTTTTTATTTTGATAAATGATTGATGGTATTAAGACTAAAGTACCGAAAAACTTATCACAGCTCCGTTAGATAGAGCTATACTTTTTTTTTGTATTAAAATGATCGACAAAGAAAATTCTACAAAGTTTGATGGACGGAACATTATCTGAGCTCTATTTCTTTGTCACGATTGACTATCTATAGTTCTTAATTGTATATCTAAGATTTAGGAACTTTAACTAACTACCTAGCTAATGAAAAGCATTTGTATTTGGAATCAAATCCCTTCCGCTACCTCTCGGGAGTGAAATAATTATTTCCAACACTACACACAAGTATGATAAACCTATGATTTAAATAAAATGAATTTGATATTTAAGACATATCTATGAATATGTTGAGTCGAGATTGTTTCTATATTTTGGATTAATTCAGAATATCTACTAGCTAGATTTCTTCTCAAATACTTTTAACGCATAAAATGTCAGCGTATGACAATGTTGAATATGTGACATGTAGCCATCCTAAACTAGATGTATTTCTTAATTTATTTTAATGGTAAAAGCTCGTTTACCTATGTTAATTCTTATAGACAACATATTAGTCAGAAGAACTATATATGCAAATTCTAATCTCAAAAGAGAATCACCATTTATAACCCACTATAAATAGAGTTTTATATTAATAAAAATAGAATAGAAAATGTTGAAAAATACACAATTGACCTCACACTTGAAGATAATATAAAACCAATACGTACGAATAATCTCTTTCTAAAAAATACAATTCAATAAAAAGTTGCATATCCAATCGATTAAAACATTCAATAATCTTAAGCAAAAGAAAATTAAACTATAAAAAAAACAGCTGCTTTTTTTCTTACATTTTGAGTATCAATAATAACTGAAAGTTTAAAATTAAATTGATCATCCAATTGCACTTCTTCATTTTTAAATATAATTAAAAAGGTTTTGCTTACACCCCAATCATTAAATACACAAGCAGGATAAATTGAATCATTTGAATCATCTAAATATAAAGAACGAAATGTTTTAATTCTTTATTATACACTACACTACAGTGAAAAGTTATTGAATTAGTCTCCACTTTTGACTTCTTTTGAATTTCACTTTTTGCCAGTATCATTTTTTCATTTCAAAATCACCACCATTATATAGATTCGCATGAGCTCTTTTAGTATTTCTTGAATAAATACTGAAAGAACACATACGACACGATTTATTAGCGATAAGTTTGAAATTAAAAAGAAGTATCGCACAAAAATAAAATTCAAAAGAACTTAGAGGCGAAGAATGATTCTATAATTATTTCACATCACTAGATTTTATCATACCAATCATAGGAGAAAGTTCAGATTTCACTTCAATTTTAGTGGCCGATTGAACTCGTGGAGCAAACTTAACTCCCGTACGAATTTGATAATATCTAATAATATACAAAGTAAAAAAAACCTAAGAAAAAAAAAAAATTCTTCTCAACTTACCCTTGCACAAACAAATCGATGTTAATAAATTTTCTTAACTCAATCGTTAATTCGATTTCGGCCTGAAGATCGGCCATAACTAATTTAAAAAAAATAACAAAATAAAAACCTGAAGTTTTTTTTTTTCTAATTTTAATTTATATACCTAGGCTTTTTGTTGTCAAAATAAATTAAATTAAATTAAATTAAATTCTCATTTCTTAATTTCTTAATTTCAATAGAATATCTCGACAAAGAAATCATTTTTACAAGAAAAAGACAATATTTGCGTCTTTGAAACGACGCGTTCGAGAAATAAACAAACGACTAAACGTATATACATTCCAAGCCATCTTGTACATGATATTACATTGTGTCTCTCTATTTTATCAATATCATAAAATTATTTTCAAAATAATTTTTTTTCAAAATAAATTTTTTTTCTTAGTAAAAAACTTAATTTTTTTAAAGCGACATTTTATTTATTTTTTTCAATGATTGGCGTTACTAATGATGAACAAGTATTTTATGGATCAAGGGAATATTATTGGAGAAAACAACAGCAAGGAATGAAAGCGCGGACATCCAATAGAACAAAACAATAAAAGAGAGAGGAAAAAAACACACAGACAGATAGACAAACAGCGAAAGAGATTGATCATTTTTGTGTCTTTATGTTTTATAGATCAACGAGAAAATATTGAAGAGCATAAGATATTCGTTCATCCTTTCCTTTTTATTCCCCATCCATTTAAATCATTTCCATTTATCCATTGAAATTTAAAAATATGGTAACTGTGATAGCAACCAAAGAAGAATTAACAACACCTATTAAGAATGGTCTTAATGGTGCCGATTCAAATGATAATGAACGGTCATTGCAATTTATTAAAGATTACCAAGAAGTAATTATATGGAAGAACAAAGTTCTTTTGTACTATTTTTATTTATTTATTTATTTATTTTTAGGTTGATTTTCATCGACTAGTATCTTGTAAACCTTTACCTGATGATTTATTTGGAAGAATTGATGGTCAAGTATCGAAATCTTCAGTAAGAAAATTTAAATATAAATTTGTTAAACAGTTGAAATCAATCTTCACTCCTTGTTGACATTGAAATAAATCGGGATAACTGCCTTGTCTGAAAGATTTTCGTATCTCATCAACTGTTTTTTTCTTAGCACTTCCTTCCAAATCCGCTTAACTTTAGCAAAAATCTTCTAATCATCTTCCTGAGTCATCGACCACGGGACATCCCCTGAGAATGAATAATAACATCCAGAAATAGTTTTTGAAAACTTGAGAATAACGGTAAAAAATAATCCTTTAGAAATTGGATTACTTTCTGCAAGCATTTAATATTCACGAATCTTTTTCCGTTTTATATTTAAATCCACGCTCGAAATAAAAACCTATGAGTTTCTTTTATGAAAATTTTCATGGCTCCTACAATGGTAACCTTCGAATGCAGACTAGTATTTTGATAATTTTCCCTAAAAGCCAAGAGTTCTTCAAAAATAGACATTTTATAGCAATGAAGTGTCAAAAAAACCATGATCTTTACACGAAAAATAAAATGAGTTTTTATCTAATAATCGGATGTTTTAACTGTTGAAATCGATTAGATTTCCGAAAAAAACACTTGAAAAATTTTGTTTTGCTCGAATGAATCACTTTTATAGTTATGAAATTTGAAGAGCTTTTGATTGCTATCAATTGTAGTTATCATATAACCATTTATTTTTCGCTTCAGTGCGTACAAATTAACAAGAGTTTTTGCATAATACGTGTAGAGATATTTATCTTTCTTTCAAACTATATCAATAAATCTTTTGAAATTCAAATAGATGATTATGTTATCATACGATTGAATGTTTGTTTTGTTATGTTTAACTTAGATAAAAGGCACATTTTTTGTTCAAATCGATGCAATTGAACCATTTATTCAGATAACTAATAATCAAAATGAACAGACAAATGATAATGATCGTTTAGTTTTAACACTCACCGATGGTATTAGAAGTGTCAAAGCTATTACAATTGATCATTTTCCTAGTTTAAAGTAATTGATTTAAAAAAAAAATACACGAATTGCATTTTCTTTTACTTCTATCTAATTTCTTTTAGTTTTAATACAAAAATCGGTAGTAAATTATTATTAACCGATATCATACAAATTAAAGATGGTTTACTTCAATTAACACATGACAATACACAATATCATAACGGTTCAAATACATATTCTCGAGCACGATCAACTCGTCGAGTTAGTAATTAATAGAAAATAAAATCTAGTTCACATTTCAATATTTCAGGGTCGTGGAAATGGATCATATCGATCGTCATATGAAGGACGACGTAAATATTTTTAATATTTTCATACGATATAAATACTCTTTTATGAATAGGAAATAATCGATATGATAATGATGAAGGTGAAACAAATTTTTTTAAACGTCCACCACCAAAAAATACTCTAATGGATTTTATGACTTCATTAAAATTATCAAACGATAATGAAAATGAAAAATCTAAAGAACGTTATGATAATAATAAACGTCGATATAATAATGAACAATATAATGGTACTAATACAACAAATAAAACAAATTCTCAAATACATTATTCATTAAATAATAATAATTATAATGATATAGTTCAACAAGATGATATTGATGAACAATTAGATCCAGAAGATGATCCTTCACACGCAAATTATCGAGAACGACGAAATCCTTTACCACCGAGGTGTGTATTTTTTTCTTTTATTATAAATATCACAATTTACTTTTCACACCACAAGCTTTATCAAAGCACATATTATTTTCTATATGAAAGAATCAATATTGATATATCGACTTGTAATACTTAAGGTGAAAAAAATAGGTAGACAGGAATGTAAAAGCTTGTTTTTTGAAGGTCTCGATTTAGAAAATAATGTTCTTAACGTTGCAGATAACATTAAAGGCGAATATGTATATTACAATTTCATTTAATTACTTTGAAGATCGTAATTTTTTTCTTGATTATAGTAAATTTCTATTATGAATTGACTGAATAAGAAAATTCATTATTTCTATTTAGACTTCAACGTGCACAAGAAGAACGTACTCGTCGAAATACAAATCGGTATTATGATGAATCAATGCCTGGAAATGACCTAAATAGTATTTATTCTAATGATAACATAAGTAATCAATCATTGTCCTCCTTATCATCATCGTACATACGACATGGAGATCCAACATCATATATTATCAATAATTCATCTAGTGGTCAACAACATACAGCTTCTCTTAATTCTTATACACAACCTGCCAATATAATTGCTACTGTTAGTAGTTCAACACCAACTCATCTAAGTTATTTTCAAGCTAATCCAGTATTATAATTAATAAATTTATGATTTTTTTTATTATTGTTTGTGTTTCTTTTTTTTTTCTTTAATCTTAGAATTCTTTAACATATAGTCTTGCTGGTATTCCAAGTCCATCATTTCATAATCATCAAACACTTATTGGTCCTACATATCCAAATGATCATTTAACATTTTGTTATGGGCCACCTTATGCAACTCCGACTTATCTTCCACCTACGATTACTAATAATTTTAATGGTGATATAAAAAATAATGGTAATACTCATTCTGATATTGAAACTGCAACTAACATAGGATCTCAACATGATGAGAATAATGATAGTGGAATTAAATCAGAAACGTCCTCAAACGAACAAAAACAAACATTACTATCATCTAATGATAGTAATACAAATATTCAAGATGAAAAACGTCGAGATTCCAATTCAGTATGATTTTTTTTTTGAAAAAAGACACCAAATAAATTAACTTTTTTAAAATGAATTTTCTTATATATAGAATCCAAGACCTCGTTGGAGAATAGGTGATATGTGTTTAGCTCGATGGAGCGATGATGGAGAAGTAAATTGAAAGATAATTTAGCGTAGTTTTCCTACTAGAATTTCATGGTTTTCTTTTAGTTTTACTATGCTACAATTGTGGAAATTCAGCCTCCTTACTGCACCGTTATGTATCATGATTATAATAATTATGATCAAGTTCGTTTCAGTGATTTAAAAGTCATACCACGTGATCAACAATATGTAAGTTTAAAATTTAATATAATATTAGAAAAATCAAAGAACATAGATTGACGACTCCTATATATATATATATATATATATTTAATTAAAATATAGAGTATATCGATTTCAAAAAAGAAAAAAGAAGATATAAATTAAACATTAATCCAAAACAAAAAGTATGGATCTAAACTTTAGTCTTTAGATATATTCAGTAGTATAGCTCGTTAAGTTGGTATCGGACTTGGTTGTGTCCGAATCCAGATCTGAACAAATCACACTCTACAGGCTCTCTATTCAATAATCTTGAAAATTTCAACGAACATGTCCTTCTCAATATATTCTATTGCCGAAAACAAACAGCGACTCATCATCGGAGAACACAGTAACCGTACCTACTTGGAAATTGAATATCTCGAAACAGACGTGCTTGTCTTCGTTGAAACTTTCAAGACTATGAAATCTGCCTTTAAACAAAACTTCAGATCGAAATTCTTCATTTTGAATTCTGACGAAAATGCCTTGCTTGCAAAAAGTTAATTGAAACCATCGTAACTGTGTATCAATAGACAATCTGCTCTAATCCCTTTTAAGCTTTTCTTTGTCTTACCCAAACCTACTTATAGCGATAATATAAAAGAAAAAAGAAATTAATTTCGAAGAGAAATTCAAATAGTTTAGTTTGTTTAATAAAATGTTCGGTTCAAAGGCGACTATCACTTACAGGTCAATTTTCGACTAAAAATTGGGATGTATGTAGGTTTGTAGAGGAAGACTTCCTCTATCCAACGGTATATATCTTATCAAATTCTGCTGCGTACCAGTAAGATGTCTATAGGTGGCGTCATCTTCGCCGCGTTTTATCATGATCACGGTGAAGGTGGCGCCACCTATAGACATCTTACTGGTACGCAACAGAATTTGATAATATATATACCGTTGGATAGAGGAAGTCTTCCTCTGCGGGTAATAATAATCGGCCTAATTTTTGGCCTAAGACCTACGTGAGCCTAAGAAAATGATGGGCTTTTTTTTTTCGTTCTGCAGATGATTCATACGAAAAGGGAAACATACCAATAATATTTTTAGGCTCGCTTAGGCCGTAGGCCAAAAATTAGGCCGATTATTATTACCCCTTCCTCTGCACACCTACATATATCCCGTTTTTTAGTCAAATGGTTTATGCGAAGTTTATAATTTCTGTTGTTTTCTTTTATAGTATCCACTTATTCATCCAACATCAGATTTGAATGTCTTAGCTGCTAATGCATATTTTCCACCGCGTACAAATTATTATCCAACAACAATCGATGGATGCATTTTAATGCCTGAACCTCCACCATTTCCATTCAATTCAGCTGGTACGTTAATCATGTATCCAACATCAATGCCATCAACATCACGTTCAGAACGTTATAATATTGATGGTGGTCAACAAGAAACACAACAAAATGATAATGTCAATACTACATTATCACCAGGTAAAAATTCAAATGATACAAGTGGTGTTGATTCATCAACAACATTATCAAATGATGATCATCCTCAACAAGATTCATCATTACCACAACCATGTTCAATAGCTGATGCACCTTTAATTCTAGTCACATCAGATGATTTACAGGAACGTAGTGAAAGTACAGAAAGTTTAACAAGCAGCAAATATGATGAAGAACAACCCACAAAAGAAGAAGAAGAAACAAAAAAATAATTTCATAGTGAATATAAACATATATATATATAGATACATGCATTCATACATACATAAATTTACAGTGAGGATCATCTTGATTGTTCTTCTTCTATCTTTTATTTTATGGTTTCTTTCGGTATTAAACAAGAAAACAAAACATTTTTTTTCTGTTGATACTTATTCGTTGTTCTTTCGCTTCAATGTGTTTATCGCTCTCCCTGTTTTCTTTTTTTCATAGTATTCATATTTGTTATCCTTGTTTTTCTCTCTCTTCCTTCTAGCGCATTCGCATGTCTGTGCTTATTTATTTTACTCTTTGTATATGCTATCCTACCGTTTTATTTCGTACATAGAAAGGGAGCTTGACATCCACTTGGTTTGTGAACAAAAAGAAAGAAACACGTCATTACGCCTTCGTGAAATCTATTCTGTTTTTTTTTCTCTCAAATCGCACATTCTGTTGTCTCTAAGTCCATGCATATATACATCCAATGCTTTTTGATTTGTGGTGTGCGATTATTTGCTGTTGTTATTGTTTTTTTTTCTGGTGACGATACCATGATGCTCTCTCTTTCGTTTTCTACACTAAACGTCTGTGTGGTCACATTATTATTACTACTGCTATTATTTCTTGCGCGACACACGCTGTCTGTTTGTCTGTCTGTCTGTCTGTCTTTCTTTCTTTCTTTCGCTGTCTTTTGTTGTTTTTTTTTTGATTATTATCATCAACAAACACAAGAAAAAAAAAAAGAAAACTTAAATTGATTTTTAAACAGAAATATCACAGAAAAGAAAAAGAGGAGTCAAACATATGACCAAATTTCTTCTTCGTTCTTGTTTCTTTTTTTCTGTTTTATAATTATTTTATAGACAATGACAACTACAACAGATATTAATTCGATGATATTTCATTCATCATCACGAATAAATGATGAAACAAATAATTCATTTATATTAAATCAAAGTCTTGATCGAATGGATATTGATGATAATACTCATGATTTACCAGCTTCAACAACAATTAATGGACATATATCATCATCAAATCCAATTGAAAATGGTTTTAACAATGATGAAGAGAAAAAAGATGTCTTTCATCAAGGGTAAAATAATAAGAATTTTTTTTTTTGTATGAAGAAGACTTTGTACAAAGAAATATTTTCAGAAATCCGGTGTTGAATAAATCATTTGATGTTTTACCACAAATTAAAGATGATCATATTTCTTCAGATGATCCAATAGTAGATGAACATGTAAGTACTAAAATTAATGAATCAAGTAATTGATTGAATCAATATACAATTATATAGACGAAAAATAATAATGTACTCGATACAACAGTTGAATTACCAAATAATAAAGAAGCGTTGGATGAAAAACCATCGCGTAAATTATTTCTTTTTTTTTTTCTCGCTCTTTTCAAAAAATTATTTTAATTTATATTTGATATTTAGATGAATTAAATGTTCTTAAGCCCGTAAATAATATTGAAACATCGACAAATGTTCAATCACTTTTATCGAATCAATTTTCTCGTATGTAACGAGTGATTGAAAAGTTTTTAGATAAGATGTTTATGTCTTTTTGATTCGCTAGAAAGCATTTCAGACGATTCAAAATATGTGAGCTGTGATCAGAATTTGAATATATGCTTAGAAATCTTGTATCTATTTTTATTCAAGATTAATGAGGAACTTTTTTTGTAAGTCTTGAAAAATAATTTTAATGATGAACCAACAGATTTCTATTTACCATATATATCTCACTTCGAACATGCTAATAAGTGTCGGAATTGATCGTTTCCTAGAGTAGATATTTCTCTACGAAATATGATATTGAGCTACTATTTGTTTCTAAAAATAATATGTTTCACTGGTTTTTGAACAACTTTTGATAGGAACACTATATAGATCTGTAATTTTCACGATTCAAGAGAAAAGATTCGAAACCATTGAATTATATCGAAATTTGATTGTTCAGGAATTGAAAGTTCACAAGAGTTGTTGGTAGAAAATTTCGAAAACGATATATTCTAAAGCTATTTTAAGCTCAATTGAAACTTTTAATAGAAACTAATCGATAGAAAAAATTCTGCTCCGATTGATCTTGATCATCCGAGAAAGCAGCTAGGTGTAGGTAATTCATCATGCTGAGTCGAATAGTGATATCTGTATTTTAGGTTTGAATTGATCTGACATTGTTATTTCAATATTATCCAAAAGTTGACTTCTTCATTACACAGAGGCTGATTGTAGAATCTCAGAAATATTCAGAGAACAATGCAACATACCAAATTTTAGTTTCAAATCAGAATAGTAAAAATACAAGGATATGCAGAAAAATTTTTTATTCGAAATATTTTTGTGAATTTTTTAAAAATGATTCGACTACTCTTGAACAAAATCTGAGACAAAGTTTCTAAGCCCATATTCAAAAAGAGCTCAAAATTCTGGACCTAACTCATCGGAAATGTTTTATAATGGGTCTGAAGTGAGCGAATATCTTGTCGAAAACCTTCGCTATCAACTTGTTAAACAAGTTTTTTTTTAAATATCTTATTGAGTTATGTGTATAAAATATATTTAGTTGAATATCCATATGAATTACCTCAACGAGAAGAAAATATTCAACCATCATCATCGAATTCTATTGATACAATCACAGGATTAGCAAAAAATATGAAGTTAAATGGAAATAAAACAATAGATGGACAAGGTTATCTATTAAAACATTCTTCCAATGAAAATAAAAAAAAAGGATAATTTTGTTTTTCTTTATTAAGAATCTTCAACATTAATATTAGGTAATGAAAAAGCATTCGACACAAATACATTTATACTTAAAAAGAAAGAACGACGAAAAGTAACAACACCAGCTAATGAAAATAGTTTTAATGGAGTATGTTTTTATATGTTTACAGAAATATGAAAAAAAAAAAACAAAGAATACTAAAATTATTTAGACTATTGATGATACTCTACTAGATTTGGCTAATAAACAATCTCCATTTAATACACCATCTGTATCACTCGATGCTACTGTAGCTTCTCGATCAATAACAGCGAACTCCTCAGCACAACAAGTTCCTATAGAGCCTACACGAATTATGTAAGTTTAATTGTATCAAACTATCTGATACATTCTCAAACGACAAATAAAAAAACAACAATATTGTCTTTTTATTTCTTTCGGTTCATATTATCCGTGCAGTGAGGTATCATTTCACTCACAAGCTTTGTTTCTTTACTCACAATACTGATAATAATTCACTATCTTAACTTATCTTATTACTCACTAAATCACTTATTTATTGATTATAAAAAGAAAAACAATCATTTTGTTGTATTCATTTAGCGAATGTGTGGAACAATATTATCGAATACTTTATCGTGTTTGTGAATGTACAGAAGAATTAAAACAAGAATTACGGCAAGTTAAAAGTGAACGTGATCAAATGAGTGAAGATTTAATTAATGCAGAAAATGCATTTACAGATGTTAAAAAACGAAATGAAAAACTTAAATTAATTATCAATGAACATAAAACGGTTCGTTTAAAAAAAAAAATAAATTCATATTTCAAAAAAAGTTTTAATATTTGATTTATTTTTAGAATACAGAAACATTAAAACGTTTTTCAGAAGAATCTGTACGTTATACAGAAGAACAAAAACAAAAATATGCTGTACTTAAACAACATGCACAAGAAAAATTAAATGAGTAAATATATATTTTTATTTATATTTCGAAGATTACTATATTTTTTTTTTCTGAAAAGAGCCAACAGTGAAATCGAACGTTTACGACGAATACATTGTTCAGAAATTGAAGGTGTTCAAGCACAATTACGTTATGCACAATTACGTGTACAATCACTTGAGCAAGAAATCAAATCTATTAAACAAGAATTAGAACAAAAGGTACAAAGAAAAAGCTATGATTAAAGTGTTCAGTAAAAAAAAAAATACAAATGATCAGTTTGTTATATATAATTACCACAAAAAAGAGCTTTTAGCACAATTCTTGCAGAATTTAAATATTAAATATCCTATAACTACTAATTGTAATAACAGGATGGATGTTTTAAAAATTTATGTATTCTGAGATAAATTTCTTTACCATTCTCTTATTTGATTCTTCAGAAATGCAGTAAAGAAGTAGATCATCTAGTACAACGAGACCTTATTGATATACAGTCTTCGATTGTTAACTTGATTCTGATTTTGAAATCTGTGTCAAAATTTGTACGAATTAGAAAGAATCCTACGAATTTGAACTAATATAAATGTAATGATCTGTTCTTTTGAATTCTATCGTTGCAAAAAATAGCTTAGAAAAATCAAAAATTCACTGTCTTCCAGGTAGGAATGAGAGTGACAGTGATCGTAAGAGTATGTCATTGCACTGAAATCAATCGTCACTGTCACTATAACCAAGAAAGTCCTAATATCAGTGAAATAACATTTCTCGTCTTTTATTTATTCGTCATCGGTCGCTTTTAAGAAAAGCCAAAAATAAGCATTAGGTTAGTAATAATTTGAGATTTTTAACGACCTCTGCTAAGCTATCTGTCACATCTGTCGGAGAGACAAATTTCTATTCTATATACTTCAATACTCCTTTTTGATTATATTTCACAAAATTTAGATTTAGTCAGTGCAAAATATAGATCTTATCAACAGAATTATTTTATCGGTATAAAACAGAGTATGAGTGTGAGTTTTAATAGATTTTTATTTCATTCATACTTACATTTACATCCACACCCTACCCTTAGAGCAAATAGTATCTACATGTATATTGTACATAGCAATTGTACTATATGATACAAGGAAATACTGGAAGAAAAGTAGATTACCCTATAACACTTGTCGAATTCTATGGTTATTCTATGATTTAATTGATTGTTAGTAAATTTTATTTACTGATTTTTAAATCTATTAACAAACTTGATTCGTTACTAATTGACCATATTATTTATTTTACTGATAAGGTACAGCGGGGGCCAATTGAAATTCCCTCTTTTGTTTTTTGTTTTTGTTACTATACTTCTTTTATTTTTTAATCTACTATATATAGCGAGAAAGCTTGGAACGTGCTGCATCTTTTGGTATATTTACATTGAACATTAAATGCAGTTTAAAGTGTAAAAAATATACTAGAAATAAAAGTGACATTTTTTTTACTACAGAGTGCCTAAAATGTTATAACATGTTTTATTTCGCACGTATCTCGGCTTAGATGAATGATAAAATCTTGAATTCTCATCGATAGGATGCGTTATGAAAAGCTCTATAAAACCTGTATGATTGAATTTCATTTTACCTGTCCTAATGGTTTTTCTTATACTCAAAATGAACAACTTACATGACAGTCTCACTTTCCATGATATTGAAAATGTTTGGAAGACTTTTCTGATTCGCTATAGGAATTAGTTCATACAGCTTTTGTACAGCTTTCGACGGCACATCTTTTAAAATGAAATTCAATATTGTACTGTTTTCTCAAGTCGAGATATATGCAAAACAAAAAAGCCTTTCAAACATTTTTCAATACTATAGGAAGTGATACTGTCATGTAGGTTGTTCATTTTGAATATAAGAAAACCATTAAAACAGGTAAAATGGAATTCAATCATACAGGTTTTATAGAGCTTTTCAGGGCGCAACTTTTTTGAAGAGAATTCAAGATTTTATCATTCAGCTAAGCCGGGATATATGCGAAATAAAAAATGTTACAACATTTTAGACATCCCGTAGTAAAAAAAAATGTCACTTTTATTTCTAATATATTTTTTACACTTTAAACTGCATTTAATGTTCAACGTAAATATATCAAAAGATGCAGCACGTTCCGGGCTTTCTCGCTACATATATTAGGTTAAAAAAGAATAAAAGAAGTGTAGTAACAAAAAACAAAAGGAGAAATTTCAATTGGCCCTCGCTGTATTTTGTTCTTCGAAAAAAAATAACAACACAAGAATAAAATTTATTGATTTATTTATCTTTTTAGAAAAAAGAAAATATTGAATTAACCAATATCTGTGATGAACTCTTAGCAACAAATAAACGATAATTTATCTGTGAATATTATAAATATAGAATGATATCTTATAAAAAAACAAACACTTTACTTCAACATGTAATTATCATTATTTTTTTACAATGTTCTCTCTGATACATACATATTGTACTAGTCCATTTTCTTTGTGTTATTATACTAATTGTGTTCATTTTTTTTTTCGTCTCGGTGTGTTAAAAAAAATATGTTAGATTAACAAAAAAAAAAAAGTGATTACATTTCTAGATAATAATGCATTCATTTTTAAGTCGATTAAATACACTATTTGCTTTTACATTAACTGTTCTTGCTGTTCTAACAATTGGTGTATTTCTTTCAACTTATTTTGAAAAATATCATGGTACTGTATCGATTGGAGTCAATAAACCAATTGTGTAAGTAGAAAATATCAAATGAATAATGAATTGATTATTTTCTTATAGAAAACATATGACGGATTTTTCGGCTAATCGAAAAAAAAATGACTTAGGTGTATTACAACTTAATTTAGATATGAGTAAGTAGAAGAATAATTGAAGATGAAAATTTAATTAATATGAATATATTTAGATCTTGATCATTTATTTGATTGGAATGTTAAACAATTATTTTTATATTTACTCGCAGAATATGTTACGCCCACTAATGTGAGTGTTTACTTTGATTTATAAGTTTAAATATGGTATGACTTGAAATTAGAATGTCAAAGTTTTCATTCTTGAACAGTTCATTTTCAAGAAACGAGAACGCATCCCAAACTGCATTTTCTATGTATACCAAAGTGTTCATATAACTTTGTCTATCTTTTTATATGAGATTGTTTGACGTTTCCAACTCTTAAGAAAGAAACACGAAAGTGATATCTCCTAGCTAGAAACAGTTAGAGAAATTATTAAATTTTCATTTTAATACTAAATATAGCCTATGACACGAAAATTTTGACACAATATATTCGCTCATTTTTTTTACCACTAAAAGATACCTGGTTAGTATTATTTAGAAACAGAGAGTTTCGCTATTTCCAAATATGTCTTCAAATTTTTTCCTTCTGACATAACATTAAACAATTGTTAGTCAATTTTATCTTACAAGTTCTGGATTGTATCTGTACAAAACAATATAACGTTTGTAGTGCATTTACTACTCTCTGCAATACTGAAATATAAAAGGTAGAAGAAAACTTGTTTTTTTTTTCAGATGAGAAAATTTCTAATATTGATATCTGCAGATAGAAGATACTTGAAAATTTAATACTTTCACGATGCATTAGTCCCATTGCGAACTCGATTAATTAAAATCAAAACTCAAACGACGATTTTGAAGATGATCAGAGAAGAAGCATGATATTTTACAGAAAAAACTAACTGAAAAAGAAATAACCATGAATAAATACTTTCTTGGACTGTTTATGATGCATTTTATGTGATAAGACTCATGTCAATAATAAAGACTTATTACTTACTGAAGTTGTTTTCATCAGAAGTAGCACAATCAATATAAAATGAGATTTTCTATAAGCATTCAAAATAACTTAAAATCGAATATTTTCATTATATTTATCATTTGAATTCTATTTTTATCTTTCATAACAAAAATCGTAGATAAGGCTGATTTATTGATTTGTATAGATATATTTCATTTTTTACTTTTTAGAGTCTTAATCAAGTTGTTCTATGGGATAAAATAATTCGACGTGGTGAAAATGCACGTCTTAATTTACGTGATATTGTAACGAAATATTATTTTTGGGATGATGGAGAACATTTAAAGTTTGTTTATTGCTGTTTTTTTTTAACTATGAACTATAGTTCTTATAATATAGATCAAATAATGTTACATTAACACTTGGCTGGAATATAATATCAAATGCTGGTCGTTTGCTTCATGTTCGAGCAAATGGTTCAACATCTTTCATTTTTCCTGATAGTTATGCAACAAGTCGATCGGGTAGTTCAAAATCAGGTGGTCAAGAATAAAAACAAAATTAGTTAACATTTTCTTTCTTTACTAATTTGTTTTCTGCTTATTTTAATTGTTATGTGATGTGATGTTTTTTTTCTTCTTCTCTACTTAATGCTATATGAATCGAAAAGGAATAAAAGAAAAAAAAGAGGAAATTTCGGAGAAGCATCAAAAAAGATAATTTATCATTCAGAAATATATTGTGGTTTTAATTTTCTCTCATACAGAGTATTCGAAAATGTTTAGAACATAGTCTATCTTGTAAGTATTTCCGCCTAAAACGCATGATGTAATCTGGAATTTTTCCTCAACAGGTCGCCATCAAATTATCGACAAACTCTTATATATGCTAATTTCAAACAATAAAACTTAACGTTTTAATCGATTCCACAATTAATTATGTGAAATGCATCTTTTCGTTTATGTTCATCCTATTTTTCCACAAAGTCATCAAGCACTTAGAAGGCTACATTTTAGTTTTTTTTTATATGCAGTGCATCTCGATTAAATCTCTTCTCTTTGTGTTTCTTACTTTAGACTGTTCTTGTTTGCTATTTTTTAAAACAAAAGGCACGTAGCGAGAAAGTAAAGACTTGGTTGCATCGCATGACACATCAATTATAAATAATATATAGCAATCAAACAACAAAAAATACATAAGAAAACAAGATAGTATTTTTTTTTTCAATACAATATGTATTTCATCTGGATTATAACTCAGGTGAATAAGGTATAGTTAGTGTTGGTCGGAAATAGTAGATACTTGAAAGCAGAAATCCAGTGATTCGATTTAGTGACCAGAATACAATATTGCATTCGTACTTTGGAGTACTGAAGTCTCACTTTTTGCATCTTGACATCAGTTTCATTAATAGCAGCACATTAGGGAGATGCACTGCTGATTTTCTATCTCGATAATGAATAAAAAGCGTCATGGTAGCAATCAAGTCTTCATTCTTTTACTGTATCGTGATAAAAGATTATGTGATCGAAAAACAATGTGATTATGTCCATGCAGAACGAAATAGTAGGGAAGAAAAAGAAACTATTGAATCGTTCGTTTTATTGGAAGAGAAAATAATAATTTTTTTTTCTGCAAGACACTCATTGATTCAATGCAATCACGTTTCGATACTAACTGCACAACGAAATATAGAAACAAGAGAAAAATGGCAACAATCGAAGCCATAACTTGCCGTTCTTTTCTATTGAAGTTAGACATTGTTCCTCAGTGTCGACAAAGCAGCGTATATGGATAATTGAGAAAGAACAATCGTCGTCCAACAAAATTTTCATTTAAATAAACAAGCTTCGTTCTTGAATAGCATTCATTCGTGTTTGTACTTTAACGACGGATACAAATAATTCTTCGTGTTATGCAAAATACGGGCTACAGTGCATCTGCGCCAGCAGCTACTTCTTCTAAGATGGTATTTATATATGGCGTAGTCAGCATGGATAGCATGTGAAGTGGCGGCGAATAGCAGTTATCTTTTCTACTTGGCTAGGCTTACGAAAGTAAATTTTTATAGGATATCATTGGATTTAGCAATTGTTGTATGATAGCCGGAGAAAACTGTCTGTCTGTGATCAAAGGAATATATAGCGATGAAATTAGCTATATTGATTATATTGATAGTGAGTTAACGAATGAATAGGGAAAATTTTTATTATTGAGTAATCCATATTCCAACATACAGGGTGGTCCAAAAGTTATCGAGCAGTCAGTTTTTGATTTTGAATAAATTTTGATAGGAACAAGATAGAGAGCTGTGGCTTTCACCGTTCGAAAGAGAGTATGTTACTGTATAGTTCCATGTATTAGTCAACGATCTTGTCTGGTGAACAAATGGTGAGTTTTCGGAAAAACAGTGACAACTCTATGAAGATGGCATAAAATTTCAATTCTAAGAAGTGCACTAGATCCGTGTACTTATGATCTACGCTCATGCCCATACCCACAACTTTTATCTTGTTTCATTCAAAAGTTATAGATGTAACACTAGGCGATGAGACTGTGGGCGTCGATCGTAAGTTTGCGGCTCTAGTGCACTTCTTAGAATTGAAATTTTATGCCATCTTCATAGAGTTGTCACTGTTTTTCCGAAAACTCACCATTTGTTCACCAGACAACATCGTTGACTAATACATGGAACTATACAGTAACATACTCTCTTTCGAACGATGAAAGTCGCAGCTCTCTATCTTGTTCCTATCAAAAGTTATTCAAATCAAAGACTGACTGCTCGGTAACTTTTGGACCACACTGTAGTTCACAACCATCATTATCCTACTAAGACAGTAACGCCATCATCATTACCTTCACCTACTAATTTAAATCTGTAATTGAACTCGAATACTGTTGCATAACAGGCTCATCGCACTAATTCGCATGAAATTGTTCAAAATTTTCTTTTTATTTGGTTTGATGCACGAATCGACCAATCTGCCGAACATTACTTTAATTCAATCAAACATCTACAACGAACTTCGAATACCATTGAAACATTTCAGAACTTGAAAAAGAAAAGGCATTTCTCATTATTTCTGGTGCTTTATGTGAAACTTTTGTGCCATGTATTCATCATATGAGTCAACTCTATTCAATTTATGTCTTTTGTCAGAAACAATCCAAGTACGAAAAATGGGCAAAAGACTGGTTCAAAGTAAAAGGTATTTTCATAGGAATTACTCGAATTTGTGACTCAGTTCGACAAACTGCTCGACAATATGACGAAGATTAAGTCATGATTAGTGCTGTATTGTCGTTGAATGAAATCGAACTATCGTTTATATATACACAACTTTTCAAAGAAATAATTCTTGAGATCGATTTCAATGAAAAGAAAGAAATAAATGCTTCAGCCGAATACGCACGTAAAAAGTATAACCGCAACGATGAACATTTGGCAATGCTTGACGAGTTCGCCCGAGAATATCAAAGTAATTTAGACGGGAAAATAACAAGCCCATCTAGTGGTATATATTTGGGATGTTTCACATACCACATGCTCAACAAAGCATTGGGTACTCTACGAGTCGAGATCCTGCTCAAAATGGGCATATTCATTCGAGATCTTCATCAAAATATCAATAAACTCCATTCGAAGCAAACGAATGAAATGCAGGATGATCCAAAAACAATCAAAGTCTATCAAGGTAAAACCATGACCAAACAAAATTTTGAAAATAATATCAAACAAGGTGGACTTATGTCGTTTAATAATTTCTTTTCAACAAGTGACGATCGAAAAGTGGCTATTCGATTTATTAAAGAAGTGCTCAAATCCCACAACAAGAACAAAATCGGTGTACTCCTCGAAATGACAATTGACCGTTCGATTTCATCGGCTCCGTTTGCCCGCATTGACGAAATTAGTTATTTTAAAACAGAAAATGAAATTCTCTTTTCCATGCACACAGTTTTTCGCATCCAACATATCAAAAAAACTAAAGACGGTGGAATGACGTTGTGGCAAGAGAAACTAACACTCATCAGTCACAATGATGACCAACAACTCAATACTCGTACTAAACGAAAACGAGAGGAAATCACTGGAATCGGATGGCAACGAATGGATTTCTTGTTATGGAAACTAGGTGAGAATGCCAAAGCAGAACAAGTGTACTTGACATTGCTCAAACAAACATCGAATGAGAATGATAAAGCCGGTTGCTACTATAATCTTGGACTGATCAAAGATAATCAAGGTAAATACAATAAGGCTATTGAGTTTTACCATAAAGCACTCGATATCAAGAAAAAACCTCTTTCTTCAAACCATTCCTCATTAGCTATTTCCTACAACAACATTAGTAATGTGTATCAAAGCATAGGCGAGTACTCGAAAGCACTTTCGTTTCTCAAAAAAGGTCCTGATATTATGCAAAAATCTCTTCCTCCGAACCATCCTTCATTGGCTACTTCTATAACAACATTGATTTGGTGTATGATCATATACGCGACTATACGAAAGCACTTTCATCGCACGAAAAATCACTCGATATCAAGGAAAAATTTCTCCAGCCGAATCATTCAGAGTTGGCTACTTTCTACATTAACATCGGTGTGCTGTATTATAACATGAGAGAATATTCTAAACCACTTCCATTTTATGAAAAATCACTTAGTATTTTGCAAAAATCTTTCCCTCCGACACATCCATATATTGCACAGCCGAAAAAAAATATTGCACTAGTAAAAGAGAATATGTATTAGTTGATTTTTACGCTGCCATAAATAAATTTCTTTCAATGTTTGCTTATTTGTTTGCAGATTGTAGCACAGTGGACGATGCTCCGCACTAGTCAGATAAATGTACACGTATGTCAAAGGTCTCTCGATGCACTTATTTACAAACAAAGACTACGTTAAATCTCTCTGAAAGGTCTATGATGCTATCCCACGGGCTTGTATAAAAGGGAACGAAAGTAGAGTAGCGTAAGAAGTTCATCAAGTCAATGAATCATACCTATATTCAAACACTTACATTGACATATCTTTCATACAATCCTATGTATAGAGTCAATGAGCATGTGAAGGAAATTCATTTTTATCTGATTTTATCTTTTAATATCATATTTATTCGAATTTTAATTTAGCATAAAACCCTGAAACTCATGTATTTTTAGAACGTGATCGTCAAATTATTATTTGTATACATAATTTTCCATTTGATACGACTTCTACAGATGTGACAAGTGAAGTTTCTACATATGAATAAAAAAAAACGAAAGCTTCATAAAATATTTCTATAGATATTTCGACGAAGTCAAAGTCCAAAAATTTTCAAAGATTATTAAAAGATATTTCATTTTCACTATTATTTATGTTACCACCATAAATGTTAACAGGTGTAAATAAAAAAGATTGTATTCGAGTAAGAGATTTAACAGTAGAGAGTGTGGGTGTGAGTGTGTGTAGTGTTTGTTAAGATTAAAAAAGTCTACACTTACACTCACCCATACTCGACAAGAGCAAATCCAATGGCTAGGCTCCACCAAAATGGAGAAG